TACATACATACATACACACATGCTTATTCCTTATGACTTTGTGCAAGCATACAGCACTCATGTAAGTACTGTCGTTGTTGAGCATTCGAGGTTCTTGCAGTTTTCTTTCCCCTTCCCTCTGAACCCCTGATCGCCCTACTTCCCTTCCCTGAACGACCAACGCATACAGGCAGCAAGGAACCACAACCATCAAAGAAGACAACTTCCAAAGCAAAAGGCCCTAAGGTGCCTTTAGTCTTTTCGAACCTTTGATTGCGGGCATGTTAGCGGTCGTGGAGGGTACGCCACGCACAGCACTTCGAGTCTTAGCCAGCGAACACAAAAAAACAATCCGAGATCAGCAAGAATGCAGGGAAAACCTCAAACGAAATTCAACCTCAAATGCTGCTTCCTCAACCCCAACACCCTAGATCTTAACAGAAAAAGGCGCCCTAAACCATAGCGCCAACGCATTCAATCGGAACACCACTTTGGGGTATGGAGTTTTAGGTGTGCGCATGGGTCTCGGCATGGCTCCAAGCAGAAACAAACAATGCCCAAGGACTGCAAACCTCTATCATTAAGGAATATAGGCCGTAAGCGGAATTATAGCCGGATCCCTATTCTGACTTAAGAAGCTTTCCTTATGAACTGGTTCATTGGAGTCGGTGGGCACCGACTTGGCCGTCTACAGTTTAACATTAATTACGGCCTTTTTACAAAAGGAAACTACAGGTTTGGAGTTTAGGGTATATAAGGCTTCTAGAAGGTTCTATAAGGTATATAGGCCTTCCATAAGGCTCCTTTAACGGTAACGAACTACCCACATGAAAATGTCCTAGATGCACTGCCGGTCCTTTGAAGCCTTACGAAACCCTAAAAACCCCTAAACCCTAAACCCTTTTTTTACACAGGCTTGATTGGAGCTCGCCCGGCCTAAACCCTAAACCCTAAACCGTACCCCTGGACCCTACCTGTCTCACGTCTGAAGCCTCTACGTAAAGCCACATACCCCCATAAACGAAGCTCATGGCCACAACAAACCTGTTGCAACTGGCTTGCAACATCACACCAGGACAGCTGACTCGTTCCAGGCTGCTTAACAAAAAACCTATAAACCCCTAAACCCCAAAACCCTAAACCCAGAACAAAACAAGACTCTGCTTTCGATTCCGTGTTGTTCGCAGGCGCCGCGCAAGGCAGATCCGGTAGATGCAAGCGAAGGAACCTCACCGGTTTCATGACTTGACCGGGTTCTATTAAAGAGTCTATAGGGTTTAAGGTTTAGGGCTTTAGGATTTTAGGGTTTGGGGTTTAGGGTTTTAAAGTTCCATAAAGACTCTATAGTATAGGGTTTAGGGTTCAGGGTTCCAAAAAGACTCTATAAGGCAAACGCAACCCAAGCTTAACCCTGAAGTGTCTGAGCAGAAGCGATTTGAACAGAGAGGGGGTGGGGAGGGGACTACCACAGAGGCCCTAAGGACTCTGAACTCACGTCGAGCTCCTAGTGGCTTCGGGTTTAAGGCTTACCGGCTCTAAGGTTGAAAGCTTTTCTGGCTTAGGGCTTGAGGTTTCGGGTTTAGGGTTTAGGGTTGAGGATGTAGGGTTTTGGATATTCAGGGTTTAGGGTGGGGACTCTGAGTGCTGCCCGTCCTTTCTTCCAGAGCTTTCTTGCACTGCGAGATCTCAGGGTTCTGCAGTGAGGAGCATGTCATGTGGAGGTCTGAGATCTTGAAGGGGAGCTAATGTAGGGGTCCTTATAACAAGGACACTACAATTGTGGATCTACGCCAAGGTTCCGACCCTGTGTGCTATCTTCGGACAAAACCATCTGCAACCTTATCTGCGAGAACTGACCGTGGAAGGAGGCTGACAGGCCGTCTCACAAATTCATCAAGCTTCGTCTGAGCATCATCTAATGTAGGGTTAGATCATGTTTCTACATTCTACTCTACCTGTAGCAAGGGGCCCTAAAGAATGCTATTGATACTTCTCTCCTACCCCAATACTACACCATCTCAAGTTTTTGTGGTTTCTAATACTGAAACTATAGTAAGGAGCCCACAGGAATACTAGTGATACTTCTTCCGGCCCCAGCATTACATCTGTATATTATAATATTACACTGTACTTTTCGTAAGGAGCCCTAACAGAAGACTATTTATACTTCCTCTGACCTCAAGATTACACCTTCCTCGGAGCCTCGACGCCGTGGAAACACAAGAAGGAGCACTCCGCGCCTCGACACCTCGGGATAGCCCTCTGCAAAGCGCAGGGCACTCGCACCCGAACTGCTTTCCTTGGAAACGTTGCAGCAAAGTGGTAGTGGTAGTCGTAGTAGTAGTAGTAGTAGTAGTAGTAGTTTGTCACCCACCTGGCACGTCGACGACAGCACTGCAGTAGTAGTAGTAGTAGTAGTAATAGTAACAGTATGCAATGACGATATTATCACTAATCGTAATGGTAAGCTAAAGTTTTGAGGTTGAGTTTCTGTGTTTGGTGAGTTTTGCATTATGAGTGTAGAGAGGATGATGAATCGCACAACAGCTGCCCTGCAGTCTGCGGGCTTAGGACCTCAAGCTTCTAGGGTATCTTTGTAAGTCAGGCCAGCCGTCCATGCGCATGTTCAGATCAGAGTCCGACCCCTGAAAAAGCCACAACCCCCCAAAGATTTTGAAATCCGACTTACTGCGGGGTCGAAAATCTAAACCTCGGGTTTGGCACCGTTCAGGCAATCATAGAAGGCTGCCACCGTATGACATCCCGAATGAGCAATCTGTATGAATTGAATCTCGCCTCTGTGCAATGCTTTGGCACCATCAAGATCAGCATACTTCAGAGCTCAGGGCCGCTCAAGTTCAAGAAAAATGTAGGACCTTTGGAGATAAGACAGAATACCTATAGGCTCCGTTTTAGCTCCTTTTTGTGGTTTATACTTGGGATACTACAAGGTAAACCCAAAAACGAACTACAATGGGGCCTATGACTAATCGCTCTAGACCCGGCAGCCCCGATGCCCGCCCGCTTTTTCACCAGGGCAGAACTCTGCATCCTTCAAAACCCCAGTAGTCGGCGCCGTAGCTGGTGATCAGCTCAGTTCCTGGCAAGTACCGTGAATCTGCTATAGAAGCTCTGACAACGACGCAGGAGGAACGCTATCAATATCATTGCTTCATGTACTGTTAGTGTGAGCAGCAGTGCAGAGCAATGATGGTGACGGGACAAAAGTACCGCACCATGGCCACCACCATCATCCCCACCATTCCACCATCACGATGAGTAATGGTAAGGTCAGAGGTGCTCACGTCCTATCATCTCACCCCAAACTCAAGGTAACTTTTGGGGCTGTTCACGACACATTGAGAGAAAGAACTTCGCTACTCGGAAGCAGCTCGATGTATGTCCGGCAAGCTGTTCAACGCCTTTGCTGCCTTTCCGATGAGGCTCAGGTCCTGCTGTTGCTAGGTCCACTTACCTGCTTCACCATCGCTAAAGCTTCTAGATTCTAGACCCTGTTCTGGAGTGTACATCCGAAACCTTGCCAGTCCATGCCAAAAATGACTGCGACAAAGCTACGCTAGGAGCCCAGCTACCTACGGAGCGGGTTGCTGCTTTTCAGCCCCCTTTACCAGGAAGAGCCTTGTCGCTGGGTGTTTTTGGTTCAAGCATTGTACTCGTACTCCAGGGACCCAGTATATTTGTAACTTGGCGAGTAGGGCTACTTGATAACCTTCGAAGCTTTGAAGCCCCAAAATCTTGAGCACCTGCAGGGACGGGCCGGGTCGTGCGGAAGTACCTCGGTTGATAGGGCTTGGAATTTGCAGGATTTTGGGCTTAGGCTTTGGGTTCAGGGTTCGTCCAGAACCAACAACCTCGCTGGTAATCAGCGGAAAGTTCTCTCGAGTGTCGTACGCCGTGACACTGGTACAAACGACTAGTAGACTAGTACTAATAAAGAACTGCAGCTTTCAACAAGGTCAAGCAGCAATGTCAATGTCAAGGTACCCTAAACCCTAAACTCTAAACCCCAGGTGCTGAACGCACGAATGTTCGAGTTAAAAACCAGGATCGTGGCGTAGCCCCAGGCATCCACCAGCAACGTACGGCAAGCTTCAGGGTTTAGGGTTTAGGGATCGAGGGTGGGTCCGAGACCCCTTCGCAGGCTGCCTAGCTCGTCGAAGTATGACGATCTCACAGTTGCAGAAATTTTTCTGCAACCTTGACCCATGAGCCCCGAAATCCCTGAATGCCTCAGAGGATCGGGTCCTCAACCCTACACCCGACTTAGGCCCAACTTTAGTCTCTTTGGGTTTAGGCTTTATACTGCAGAGTTAAGAGATTGCTGCCGGAAGGCCCGACCTGCCCCAGCTCGCACATTTTCACCTTGACCGGGTGGTTGGATTTCCAAACCTCCTACATGTAGGGAGTGCTTATTATGCTACTTATTGATAGTATGTGGTTGAAAGTCATGAGTACTTGAAACAAGCCACCCTCGACCGCAAACCTTAAACTCTATACGACTCTATACCCTAAGCCTGGGACCCGCAAAAAACGGGTACTTGCCAAACGAGCCACGTTTACCAAGGCACACTGATCCTTACTTCCCCATAAGCCAAGAAAATAAAATGTTCCAACTTTCAGAATACGACTAAACTTTACGACTAAAGCCAAGAGAATAAAAGGTTCTAACTTTCAGATTACGAGTAAACTATACGACTACAAGTGCCCAAAAAATTGAAAGGTTGGGTATTGGAGAACTAAACTAAGGATCCGAGCTTGAAGCTCCATTCACGAAGCGCGCCTCAGGGTTTGGCTGCGGTGGGAACTTTCTGGGTTCAGTAAGGGTCCCCAAGAGGAAAACCACTGCTGGCTCAAGGCCCAAACCCCTAATAGCCCCTAACCCCTAAACCGTAAACCCGAGTAGCCCCTAACCCCTAAACCCGAAACCCACGGTTCGGGGTTTAGGGTTTAGGGTTTAGGGTTTAGGGTTTAGTTTATAACTGAAGGCGGCACAAACAGATGTCACTGGGCAGCCCAGAGGCGGGATTGCCCTCCGAAGCTATTCGGCTGTCCACGCAGTAGGCCAGTTGTTGAGCTTTGGGGCCCTCGATAAGCCTGGGTTTTGGTTTTGGGGCCCTTGACGGTTTAGGGTTTGGGATTTATTTACGAATAGGTACCTCTATAAGAACCATCAGGGGGAATTTTATAAAGTTTCCCAAAGTGCCAGCTAGAAAGCTCTTGTGGAGTCATTTCCAGCATCGCAGCTCCATTCCGGAGTGGGCACCTTACTTGCTGAGCACCGGGCAAATTCAACATCGTGGTGCTGTCCTTCCTGCAAAAGGCTCTATTAGGGTTTAGGGTTGAAGGCTCTAAGCCCTAAGTTGGCAAACCCTTTTTCACTAGTAACCCCTACTCCCTTTAAACTTGAACCGTCGCAACACAAAAAAGCCCTGGAGCGAACTTGCCGGGGTCCGCAACCCTCCACCCTAAATTCTCATGCCTTACTCCCGAAATGGCCTCAGAGTGCGAAACACCTAAGACCTGGTAAAGCCGAAAGCTCAACCCTAAACTCTAAACTCCGCGACTCTGCACCCTTAAACACCACTAAACGCCCGATGCCATGAACGATAAAGCCTGACTTAGACCCCTAAACTACCAACACCTAAACCTTAAATCCCAAAGCCATTTTTCAGCACGGACCGAGGTGCCGGCCAGCGCCTATGCCAATGCAACCCTCACCCCCTCTTATAAGGCAAGAGCACAAGGGAAAAGCTGTGGATGACAACGAGCGGAAGCTTGGTTTGGGATCAAAGCCTCAACAAATTCTACATCCCTGCACCGAAGGCACCATGTGTAGGTCATGCCCTCGCTGAACTCCCGGAGGCCTACCTGGCAGTTCCGACGTGATTTTGTGCTTTGGGTTTAGAGTTTGGGGTTTAGAGTTAGGGTTTCGGGTTTCGGGTTTCGGGTCTTGTGTTTGGGTAAAGAAGAACTAAATGGCTTTACAAGAGCTGAGCGTTAGGATTCTACAGGGAGGTTCCTACAAAGCTTCCACAAGCGATGCTAGTTCCTTTAAGCTGAGACTGGGTCGGAGGAGGGTTCCAGCAGTCGATATTGAATATTTGTTTGGGTGTGGGTCTGCATGGACTCGGTACGTGCTTATGTGCTTCAACATAGTCCATGCGGATATGTAGTGGGTTCCTATGGGTTTAAAGCTTAGGGCTTAAAACCCTACACCCTAAACCCTAAGTTGAAGCCCACCAACAGGAGCACCCTAATCCTAAGCCCTTTTTTGAACCCAGGCTAATCCTAAACCCTCAACCCTACCTCGCGGTAGGTGAGCTGCTGCCCGCCGTAGGGCGGCAGGACGGTCCCCTTCGGGAGGGCCCTGGCTGCAAAGAGGCCTGAACAAGCGCAGTAAAAGAGGCTGCAGGTTTAGAGCTTCGGCTTTAGGGTTTCGGGTTTAGGTTTCGGGTTTAGGGCTTAGGGTTTGGGGTTTAGGGCTTAGGTTTAGGGCTTAGGGTTTAGGGTTTAGGGCTTTGGTTTAGGGTCTAGGGTAGGGTTTACAGTCAGCAGGGCTTGGATGTGGATCTTGGCCCATGGAGTGTAGGGAGTGGTGCATGTTGCTTTATTTTTCCTGGAAGTATCGTTGTCTTCCCGCACTGTCTTTAGCATCTATCACCTACTTTCTTTACAATGTGGGCAGTTCTCTAAATTAGGGTCCTTGTTCAGGTCCCCAATATAGTACGGCACCCTTATAAGAAGGACCCCCAAAGGGACCCTAATTTAGAGAACTACCCATGTGAGCCCAAGTACAAGATGGCATAGAATAGGCCCTCCCCCAAAGGTGAACCGCAAATAAGGATTCCCTATTCGACCACCCAGCCAATGCCCACGACAGACGAAGTCTCAGCCATTTCAAGGTATTCAATTACTATAGGGGACTCAATCATCAGAATAGGGGTTTGGGGCCCATTTTACTGATACTCTCATTAGAATAAGGAACCCCCAGAATATTATTGGTAATCATTTCGGCCTTTAATTTTAATTCGGACCATACAGCCGACGAAACGAGGAACCTCGGAAGCTTAACGCGAGCATGCACCTGTCATGTCATGCAGCAGCCAGAGTTTTGCCGTTCTTTACTCCATCCTCGCCATCTTTCGGGACAGGGTTTAAGGTTCGGGTTTAGGGTTTAGGGCTTAGGGTTTTGGGGTTTTGGGTTTAGGGTTGCTACACTACTCTCCACCTCCATCTTCTTTCCATGTAGTCCTTGCAGACATGTGTTCTGGCTGACCAAGACACGGAGGAGCATGAAGACCTAAACCCCCATAGCTCTATAGAGCCCTAAAGCCTGAAAGGCCTAAAGCAACGAAAGCCTGAAAGCCCCAAACTCCCAAAAAGCATCAACAAAGGATCCTGCTGCAGATGTGGGGCTTTAACTCTCTATACGAACGTAGCATAGCCTTACATATCCGTGTATACATATATATATATATATATATATATTCTACATATGCAGGAATATTCATTTAGTCACGTTACTTCCTTATTTCTTTATGTATGTGGCACTTCCGACAGAAACCCTGGTGCAGATAATTTAGGCCGAACATACCACACCCCTAGAAACCTAATCATCCCTAGCCCCCAGAGCCATGAACTTCTACAGGGTTTAAAGTTTGGGGGTTTAAGGGCTTAGGGTTTAACGGTTTAGGGTTTAGGGGTTTAGGGTTTAGGGTAAAGTTGGGGCATCATTTTCCTCATGCCGTTCATGTATAGGAAATGCCAGCACTCATCATCCAACTCCATGTTCCAACTGTCTGCGGCTCACTATGAACTCCCTTAGCCCCGAATTCCCTCATACTCACACAACCCCCCTACAACCACGTTGATAAAGCCATGTGCTCCTTCCTCTTCAGGGTTCCTAAGTTTCCTAAAGGGCTCTCTTCGTCAACAACCGGGCCCCAAAAATGTTCAAACTTTCTACGACGACCCTAGTACATGCCCTCAAAATAGTTTAAAGCTCTCCCAGGTCAAGGAATCCTCATAGAACCCCCCAGGACTCCTCAAGAAAACCCCTTACTTCGGGGCTGGGGTATCCTAGCCCCCTCAAAAAAGCTCAACCCTTTCAATTATGGTAGGGTTATCTAAACCCCAAAAAAGTTCAAGGTTTACAGTACTCAGCTATTAAGAAGTTATTCCGACCCCAACCACAGAAAGCACAAGGTAGGGTTCGGAACGAAAGGAGAGGGAAGGGAAACCCCAAAAGGAAACCCGACCCCGGACGAAGAAGCACAGCTTAGCTCGGCTCCTTTTCATCTTGAGCCAAATGTTATAGCATGGCTTAGCTGCACAGTCAGACAAGTTCTTTACATGTAGAAGGGCCGTAAATCTTCAACTTAAGATCCCTAAACTCTGGAACCCTCGACCCTAAACCTTAAAACCCTAAAGCCCTAGAGCCCTGGAGACGCAGAGCTAAGCGCTAAAGGAGCTCTATAAACCAAGCCTAAACCCTAAAGGAGCTCTAAGATGTGAGAGCCTCGGCCGGCGCCGGGCAGCGTGGAGTTTCGCACCTCGAGGTCCTGCAGGTGTGGGTTTTGTTTGAATAACTTTTCGGGTGTTTGGTGGGATTGGGGCTTTTTTGAATGAACTTTTGCTTTTTGGGGGGTTTGGGGCGTTTGAGCTTTCGGGTTCTTTGTGGTGGTGCCTAGGGCTTTGGAGCTCTTCAGCAGGAGGGGGGGGAGGAAGCGAAGAAGTGGCCATCGTATCTCTACCTGCAATATAAGGCCCAGTATAGAAATTACCGGGACCCTACAAAGTTAGGCTGAGAATAAAAGTTGGAGGTAGGTCAGGTATGTTGTCCGAGCTATTATGAAAAAGAAACCCTGGCCTGGTCTTTGGCAGTTCGTAAACGTAAAAACTTGATGGCCCGAGAGGAACATAGGCAGTTGAAATGCATACAAACTCCATGTGATGGAGTTAAGCTGTTGAGAGGTCTCTTTCATAAAAACAAGCACGACACGCTGTGGACAGTCTTTCGTCATGCTACCAAGATCTCCACCTGCTCCAATCTCAAAGCCTTCTCGAAGGGGAGAGGGAGGACAGACGAGGCGGGCACAAAGTCTTCAGCTTCAGACGCTTGGTAATTTGGTACGAATGATGCGAAGCTCAGGGCTTCTAGAAACTAAACGCAGGCGAGTCTAGACCCTAAAAGCGAACCCGACTCCTGCAAGGAAACCTTGCAGGCGAATTGACAGACCAAAAAACTTGGAGCAAGAGTTTCTGGCATGATAAGTATGTAAAACTAAGTTATGGACTGTAAGGGGATATCATTACGAACTTTTCCGACTCCTAAATAGCATTTTCTCCACGACCGACCAGCTGCTCTTCACCTCCTCCAGGGCAGGCCGCCAGCGCGGTAGCTCCGCTGTCCGCCTCTGACCCACTTGCAGGAACTGGAAGACTGACCTAGACGGGTTCCTTGAAGGGACCTGTAAGGGTACCATCGGGGCTTAGGATTAGGATTCGGCAGTTCAGGGTCTGGGGTTTAGGGTCGTTCTTCCTTCTACAAACCTCATCCCTTTAGGGCCCTTGGAAGGAAGTACTGAATCTCTACCTTAAACCCACAGATCCATGGTGGAGGATGTGAGTAGCCCTGCCCTGAAACCCTACGATAACTCACCCTGAACTCCAAAAACCGAAAGTCTCTGACCGCAGGCTCAACACGATATTTGCTTAATAAACACGTGTAAAAGTACCAATGCGTATCATATACAACAATGACGACATGCTTGGCTTTATTAGGGTTGTGTTAATGTATTATAGCAATCAGAAGAAATACCTATGGCATCGAATCTCCTGTGTAGTTCGTTTTTTGGCTAAACAAAAAAAGGCAAAACCACAAAATTAACCAATAGCTGACCAATACAGACTATATCATCCGCACTGCCCGAGACCCTCGCCAATTCAGCTCAGCGCGCCAGGCGTCACCGAGCTCCTCCTCCCCGGCTGCGCCACCTGCAGCGATGCGGGATGCCTCGGAATCTCTGCGAGTGAGGGGGCGAGTTAGTTAGCCAGTTGGTAACGTTTGGTTGCTTCAAGCTGCTTAGTTCTCCCCTGACTCTTTCAACTCGTTCGTTCCCCATTAGTCTTCGGCAAGTGGTTTGGTAGGGGGTCGGTAGAAGGAGTAGACTAAGATAGCTTGCTATGATAGTTTGCAGAGTCGTCGTCGTCGGGCGGAGCCCGGGGTTCTCGAGGGCGTTGGCAGCAGAAGGAACTCGAAGAAGCTCAGCGGACGAAGACTCTTTATTAATTATTTCGGGGCCGTAAAACACTACAGCCACAACAGTAGTGTTTTCTTCGGCGAACAAGTCAAGGGACTTTATTGCTAGTTTTCAGCCTTCTGCTGCGAGGCTCAAGGGAGGAAACCCTCAGAAATCATGAACTTGCGAACCTATAAGATGCCTAATCTTGTAGTGCATGCATTGCAACCGTCGCCTGCGCAGCTTCGAACGCCTCAGCTGCATCTTTGGGAACGGCAATGCCTCGCAAGCTCAAGCGGGGTCGAGAGCTCGGTCAGAGTGTGTAGTATACGGGCCTTAATAATTAGAATAGGGTTTCGGGGCCCATTCTACTAAAATTAGAATAAGGAATCCCCAAGAGTATTGAAAAATTTAGGCCCCTACATTAGGGTTGACGGTGTCAACTTCAGGATGCATTTCAGCCGCCATGTTCTGCCCACTGCATTGCATCATCGGTGCAATTCGCATCAATGCTTTACTGTCGGTGAAACAACATGGAACGAGTGGCTGGTTTGGAGGATTTCAATCATGGGAGTTTAGGAGCAAAGACTTGTGAGCTGCTTGTTGAGGGTTTAGGGTATCGTCGTGTGAGCCTGCAAGTCTCACAGCATGCAAGGCACCGAGAACCACCTCATGCAAGCACATGTCCTGGGAAGCCGCCTCAAATCATAACCATCGTAACTATGAGTTTAGCCATAGGCCCCATAGTAGTTCCTTTTTGTGGCTTGTATTTAGCATCCTATTAAGTAATCCCAGAAAGGAACTACTATGGGGCCTATGGGTGGCTTCCCCCAGCCCCACCCAAACATGTGTAACAACAACCTGCTTAAATAACAAAGGAGGGCCTCGCTGGCGGAAGTGAGCCTGACAGTTGCACACCCGATGGTCGCAGGCGCACCAGTCCTTACCAGAGTTGCTCCTAACTGACGAGAGCCAGACGGCACCGAACAAAAACAAAAAGGTGGTGCTGAAGATAGACTGTCTAAAGCCCGGGTTCATATCTTGTAAAGCAATAAAAAGACTCACTTAAGCTTAAGGGGGCGCCACAGTGAAAACTTTACGAGACGCTGAAGTCGTTCAGGAGCGTCCGTATCACAACATGCCGCACATGCTTCAGCGCTCATGCCGGCAGTTGCCGGTTCGGCATTGACCTTGGTGCTCTTTTCAGGATCAAGGGAACAATGGTACCGGGTACCCCCTACCAATCTACATTAGGGTCTTATGACTGGGCCTATGCTTCCCCTCATGGGACCATGGACCATTGAGCATCAACCCTTGAACCACCCTTGTAGTACGTCCTACAAGACCATTCCAAAACCTTTTCTGGGACCTTCAATATAATCAACTAATAAGGGCTCGGCGAAGCCAGCCAGCCCAAGCCCTTGGATCAAAAGGGATCGCCGGAACGAGCCTCCGTCATGCTCCTGACTGACTTCGTGAAGTCTTGGTTGCAGGGCTTTCTACTTTCTAGTTGGAAAAGTTTGTTGTCGGGGTTTAAAAAGTTGTTACAAGGTTTAATGGGGATTACACGGCTGAGTTAGTTCCTTTTGTATGCATACATATATATATATATAGATATAGATATGCAGTCATAAATATGGTGTGCTTCTATATCGATAGAGGGGCCAGTACTAGAATATCAGGCCGTAACTATTTTGCATATGAATCTTGTTTGCTTGGCTTCCCAGGCCCAAACTAAGCCTGCAAATACCATGGTTATGTTAAGAACTGATAAAGCCGCATAGGTTACAGGGTGGATAGCCGGCAAAGGTTTAGGTAAAGTCAGGACAGCGGCAGCGGTGCAGGAAGCACTGAAAATGCTTGCGGAAAGAGACATGTCCCCCTGAGTTCGATACCCTTGTTTCAGACCAGACAACCTTGCACAGGAACAGCCTAAAGCAGGAGCTACCCAGAACTACACCCATGGAGAGCCTTTGTTCCGGAATCGTAGGTACGGGCGTTCGGGGTTGTATGGGGCTTTCGTGGTCATGTACGGGTTTGAGCTTGAGGTGTTGCTTTTCTATGGGCTATAGGGTGACCCAGAGCCCCCAAGGCATCCAAGCTGAAACTTGTTTTGCTTCTTGCTTTGCTTGGACGCAAGCAGGGTGCCTGCATAAGTAGACAGGGTCTGGGAGGCCCTGAATATTATTCTTATACTAGGGCCTCCTAACCCTAAACCCTTCAACACTGGGAGCTCTGAGGTATAAGGTTGCCAAGTATTTCGTCCCAGAGGTCACGATAACTTGTAGGGTTCCAGCAAGTGCTCTGGCTCCCGATGATTTGCGGATCCAGCTCACAAAAACAAGACCAAAGACCCACACCTTGGCATTAGCGCCGGCAGATTGATAGTAGGTGTGTGTAAAGAGCAAACATGCCTAAGCTTCAATTCTGGATCTGACGTCGGCGACTGTTCGGAACACTGCATGCCCTTCTTGACAAAATGAGGTTGCGGCAGCGGTCAATGACAACAGGAACCCCCTGCTGTCCTCTCTTTCTCTACATTACGCCCTGAACCCCTTAATTGGGCTCTTTGCTGAGAGCTTCCCTTGAGATGACGAAGTCTTCTGGACAAGAAGGAAAGCCGATGCATCCCCCATTTGTGGCAACTGAAGACTAGATTCCTGGTAAAGCTCTTGTTCAGCCTTGCCTGATGACCCCGATCTGCAGGAAGGAGATGGAGCGCGAGAAACGTCGGCCCCACAGCGACGGGCAGCAGAAAAGCCTCTCCAACCAGGGCTTTGGGGATAACAGGCCAAGCCGAAGCCTCACAAACAGAACTTGTCTTCACACATGCGCCCGCCTGCTTCTCTGTGAATACAAAGATGCCCACACGCAAAAAAATAATATGTATATAAGTTTCGTATATGCATACATACACACAAACGCGTACGTGTATGTATATCTACATATATATATATATACATACATACACACATATACTTACATATACACCGAATGTGCTCTGCACCTGGGTTATGCGTGTTTTACAAAGGCAAACCTGGAAGCCTGAGAGGATCAGGAATCCCATGATCGACTCCAACGTAGCTGGTTTCTCATCAAAAGCAACCAGGAGAAACAAAAAAGAAGGGACTCCTCCTTGAAGGACACCGAAAAAACAGCCGATGCCGGCTCCCAGAGACTCCAAGACCCGTAACTTCCGAAACTCAACTGAAACTACACGGGAAGCCCTGTTCTGATTCGGTTTAGGCTTTCTTCGGGTGTAGGGTTTATAGGGTTTAAGGGTTTGGGTTTGGGGGTATCTTCCTCAACCATCAAGGCCAGGCAGCGAGCTGCTTATGGCGCCTTTGGCCAGGGCAGCTCTGTCTGCGTCCCCGGCTCAGAGCTGAAGCCATTGGTAGATTAGGGTTTCGGCGCTCACACTCGGACAATCCAGGCGAGGCATATGGTTCGAGTCTGCAATGTGAAACACTCTAACTGGTAACATGCGGGACAGATTAGGGTTTAGGGTTTAGGGGACGGAGCTCTAGTTGATGTAGGGGCCTTAATAATTAGAATAGGGTTTAGGGGGGCTGTTCCTAATTATGCTTCTTATAGAATATACCCCAAACCTACTCTATTTATTCAGGCCCCTATATTACCCACTATTTCGAAAACGTTCCCTTATGCTTCTTTACGGCTTTATTGAGTTGTTAAAGCTTCACTGAGGCAAGGTATGAGAGCTAGCGGATGTCAGGCAGTCCGATTTTTTGTGCCGCTCTAACTGTTGGCAGTTAGGGCTTGCGGATCAGGGTTTGCCGGGTATATTTTGTAACCGGAGGATCCCGGGACATAGTTAGTAAGCCGGCAAAACTCAGCAGTTCACACGCCCTAAGTGGAGATGTCGTGTTTATGACTGACCTGCCGGGTTCCCTGAGGCTTCAAGCAGGGTTCAAATCTGCAGGGGGATATAGGGTCTAGAAACCTAGATCGGCGTGGCTACATTGTTGAGCCATGGCAGCGTCCTAAGTAGTTCCAAGCATCTTGAACTGAAAGGCTCAGTTCCACTGCAACGCCCCACATCTGAATCCAATTCTCAAAGACCAAATCCGAGAACCCGATAACCAGTCACTCCACGAAGCCTGACGCTTCCCCACACAAAGCAACTGGACCATCCCAAAATGCACAACATACTTGAGAAGGTCATGCCTTAGAAACAGACCTCCTTTTCGTCCGGGGGCTCGGCCCTCCAAGACTCTGGCAGTTTCAGAAAACATGCCTAACGTAATCATGCAAGGACAACTTTAGGCCTCAAGGGCCAAACAAACACATTGAAAGCATGGATCGTGACATAGTTGAACTCTTTACACCATTCGTGTGCTTACAATCTGTGGCGTCATAAACGATAAACCCTCGAAGACTACACGCCTAATGTAGGGGCCTAAATAACTACCCAGACTATTTTTTTTTTTGGGGGGGGGTCCTTATTTTGATGAAAGCATAATGGGCCCCCAAACCCTATATTCTAATTATTGAGGCCACTACATTACCGACCAAAGCTCGGCTTCCCACTTCAACGAGCGACTTCAGACACGCATGCACACAGTGTTGATCCATGCAAAATGCTCTGCCACACAGCAGCGATGTTGCTGGTTTCGTTAAGCTTCAGCTTTGTTTGAGTTATGAATACTTCCATGTCGATCCCGACGCCACTCCAACGCAAAAGTAAAGTATGGATTGCTGGGTTTGACGGATTCGTCTTTCGGCTGCACTCACGCTTGTCACTGCTGGGTAAAAAACCACGGTAAACACACACCTGGTTCAGTTTCCCCTAAACCCTAGACCCTAAGCCCTAATAAACGTCGCTTCGGACTTGGGCCACTGGTTATGCAGGTTTGTCCGTGGTCAGAAGTGATTCCGGTTCAGGCTTCCGCGTTGGTAGACAAATTAAGTAAAACTTACTTAGAGGAGTTCCATACTTAGAGGAGTTCCAGGCTTGGGGGAGTTCCAGATTTGGGTTGGAGTTTCTTAGCCTATAGCTCTAGAAGCTTTCGAGCTGAGGGTTTACGCTGTGACCTGACGCCCTTTTTGCTCACAAGGGTTACGGTTGCGCATGGATCTGCCGCAGCTCGAGCTCCAGCAGGTCCAGATGCTTAATGGGATAGTCCTGAGGTCTGGTAATGCAACGCATCCCTCTAGGGTTTAGGGTTTAGGGGTTTGGAGTTTAGGATTCAGGCAAGACAAACTCAATTCTCGCCACACTTGTTTCCGTCATTCGTGCATCTATTCCTGCCGACCACATCTTACTGACTTTCAATTCTATTTGCTGCTCCGGTCCCAAACATTTATCAAAACCCAACGCCCTGAACACCTGCAACAACAAAATGCACAATGATCTGCCCAAGAGTCAGCCACCTCTGAAGCAGGGAAAGCCGAGACCTCTTGCAAAGCACTTCTTAGTTTAGGGTTTAGGGTTTAGGGTTTAGGGCATGTACTTTCACCCGTAAACCCCTAGAACAAGAAGTACAAAGGGTTTATAAGGTTTTTTGACACTCACACTCGGACAAGCCTGGCAAGGTCTGTAGCGACACTGGTCCATCGAAGCATTAACATTGCACTTTGGCATGTGTCACCGAGTACGTCGCGGGTTTAGGGTTTAGGGACGGTCACCGTAAACCTAAGATAAAATGCCAAGTACAGCGGCGCCTGCAACGCAGCTTAAGGTAGGTTAGGGCTGATTGCACTAAAGGCTGTTGGAATAACCTAGTCAAGATCCCCATAACAAACAGTATGTAAGGATCTAGGTACTGCAGTCCTCTTCGAGTTCAAAAGAGCCCGCAAAAGCACTTAAGCGTAACAATAATTCTGTCATCTCCCATGACGCCCTCGTTACTTACGTTAAGCAATAGTATGTCGGGATATCCCACCCCTAAACCCTAAACCCCTAAACCCTAAAACCCCTCAAGCCCTAAACCCTAAAACCCCTAAAGCCCTAAACGCTAAAACCCCAAAGCCCTAAACCCTAAAACCCCTAAACCCTAAACCCCAATACATTTTGTTTGCGTGATTTGGTTCCTAAGGTCAGCAGCTTTCGAGTTTCTGAGCTTCTGTGATTAGGAAATTACGGTTTCTGCTCCTTGGACCGTGCATGTTTTTGTTTAGGGGTTTCAGCACTCACAACTGGGACAAGCCTGGTTTAGGGGTTTAGGGGTTTAGGTTTAGGGGTTTAGGGTTTAGGTTTAGGGTTTAGGGGTTTTTGAGGGGTTCAGGGGTTTAGGGTTTAGGGGTTTTTGAGGGGATTAGGGCTTAGGGCTTAGGGTACATAGAAACCATGTTTGAAGGTGGCTTGTGAATTCCGACATCCCAATCCCTTAACTCCGAATCCTCGCTTCAAAACTCTGAGCTCAAAACCCTCCTGGGTCTGTTAGAATAGCCCCAATAAGTGCCACCTTCAAACAACAAGAGATCCTGCCCACCCTCACAGGGGAACGGCCCAGAAGCACCAATGAAGAGTATCGAGGTGGGGGGTTTGGGAGTTGGCCCTCCAATTTATAATTTGGGGGTTGGGTTGGGTGGGTCACGGGCAAGGTTCACGACTTTGTGGTGTAGGGTTCGGCGCATTGCATTCAATGCTGAGGTTGCTACTGTACTACTGAACGGCCGACAAGTTGCAATAAGCCACGACATTACAACTGTCTCCTTGGTTGCAGAAGACAAGGCACCCCACAAGCCACCAACATCTTCTGCACAGTCTCACAGACGCCCAACTGCAGTGCTAAGTCCCCAGCCACCACTGCAGTGCCATCTGCACGATACAAATTTCTGAAGACCCGGAACTGTGACTGTACATAGCCGTCTCCAAGACATGTCGCGGATCAGCATATTGAACCCAAGCAAACCCTTGCAAAAAACAGTGTTAAGGTTTGTTTGATCATCTGTTGAAGCAGGCTGCCAGCAAGGTGGCGAAAGTGACCCAGAAATGCACGAGGCGCTCCGTCTCGTCCTTGCTCGCACCACCGAATATGAAGACCGTACACACATGAACCCTACAAAATCGTAAATTTCAGATTAAGAACTATGAGCCTGCAAACCCGAGCACCAAAACCCGAAGGTGTAGTAGAGCGTCTATACAAGTGGGGCTGCCCGCAGCGAACGACTCCCTAAGGATCCGATAACCACCTACTTGTCCAGTATCCTGGGGAACTAAAGTTTAACCTTTGGAAGTATAACAGGATTATAAGGAGATTGTAGTACCGAAAAAAGGTTAAAGAGCAGGCAACCAGGACCATACTACAACCACGCTGCTCTCACTAGTTTTGCCATGTACAGTAGTCGTATCAAAGGTCTAAGGTTTGTTTGAGGGGTTACCAGGTTTTAAGTACCGCCCCAGAGGTCAGGCTCTACCCATAGGCCCCATAGTAGTTCCTTTTTGTGACTTATATTTAGGATCCTATTAGGTAATCCCAAAAGGAACTACTATGGGGCCTATAGGTATGGATGTCAGGTTCCAACCAACCTCACACAAAGGAGCAAATGGCGAAGTGCGAATGTGTGAAGTTCAGAAGGTTCACCAGGAATGAGCCAATGATGCTCGGTCTGGACCGTAAAAATCGGGTTCTAAGGTGCAATAAGATTATATGAACTCTATAGAGCTTACTCTTGCAAGTACTTCGATACTTCGAACCTCACTAGTACAATCGTGTGCAGTAGCACAACCCTAAACCCTAAACCTTAAACCCTAAACCCTACATGCACGCCCAGCTGCAGGGTGCTCTGGATCCACCCAACAGTTCTTCTCCTCTGCCAGCAGTGGCACCAGGAGCCCAAGCAGCTTTTGTTGCAGAATGCTCAGAGCGACCATGGCCTGGCCGTAGCCAGAACCCTAAAACTGTAACCGTAAGGGTTACTGTAAGGTTTCTCTAAGGTTTAGATGGGGATTTCCGAAAATAGGGGACCCTTAAAAAAGCACCCTAACTAATAGGATCCTGATTATAAAGGACCCCCCCAAAATAAAGTAGCCTTCATTTTCGGAAACCCCCAGATGGGTTCCATGAGGCAGCAGAGTTGCGTTTGAAGGGTCCCCTTTCACGGGTTCCATTAGTATAAGCAGTAGCAGCCATGGCTTTAGGGCCCTATACTGAGGGCTGGTAAGAATTATTATAAGCAGTTTTATAAAAAGTTCTGACATGGGGGGATTACAGGGTTTCGAGGTCCACAGGACCCCTTAATCTGCTTTGTGCTTGAGCCCTTTGTAAATATAATCCACAACCATGCACCCCGAATCCTAAACACCAAAACCTGCATGAATCCTAAGGGTACGCATGACTAAGCAGATCTGGGAGCATCTACGGCATGATCGCATGGTAGTTAGGGTTTAGGGTTTAGGTTTAGGGTTGAGGAAAGGCAAAGACGAGTCCATTGAACAGCATTTCGTAGCGGCGTCAGGCGTGGCCGCAGTGTACCCAAGGTGCTCCCGCAGTCTTGTACTTTCGTGCGGGATCTTTTCTGAAGGCTACCTCAGAATGTAAGATCTTCAGAATTTCATTTCTATCCTGATGCACAAGCAGCGGCTGGCCTTGACGGAAATGAATTTCTTGGTGGTGTTCCAGCGATGCAGCAACTCGTGCGTAGCCGCATACATCACAAAGAGGCCGTACATGGCGACCATGCCTGAAACTTTCAAGAGGGGATCCGCCACAGCATCAACCTCCCAGTATGGATCCAATGTGAATCGAGCCCACATGAAGTAGGCATTCACGAAAACCTGCATGACCACATATTGCCTCACGAGTCTGGAGACCCAGAGCAATTGCTTTGCTGTGATATGGTGTGGTTGAACACAGAGCCTGAAGCAACATCCGAAGGGAGGCACGGCGAAGTATTTCTGCGGCCCAAACTTCTGCAGGATCTGGATGATGCTCTGGCGCAGAGAAACCTGGGACGTCCGTGACGAAGCTTCGTCAATCTCTGCGCCTTCTCCTTGCTTCATGGCCTCCACAGATACCAGCATGAAGAGAATCCCGATGAAAGAATAGATAGCAAAGGCCTCACCTGCACATCTGCCATGTGCAACCGCCAGACACCCAGAGACCTAACTAAAAGTGGAATCTCCGAATTGGCTCACGTCTAACAGGTCTGAAGCTTCACCCTGAACAACGACCTTGGCCCATGAACAGTTCGGCAATGGGCGTTGACAGCGGGGTGAAGAGCGTCAGCCAGCAGAAGAAGGCCCAGACGGTGGGGAAGGCTAGCATCCCATGGTACGAGGTCCGAAGCCTCGCTATTTACTTTAACGAACAGGGAACAACAGGGGTTTAGGGTTCAGGGTTCAGGGAAAGAGAGAGAGAGAGAGAGAGAGAGCGAGACATACATAAATAATGTGTGTGGTTGTCCAAATTAGGGCTAGGGTTTCTTCCAAGCTGCCAAACTATAGGCTGCCGTATTGAAGGTAGAATTATAGAGGGTTCCCAAAAGGGACCATGGTTACTGAAATTATGATAGTTGTAGCATAATGGCCCAAAGCCCTATTCATTCTAATTATTAAGGCCCCTACATTACCCAAATTTGGGTTCTTACACATCTACCGGGTCCTGCAGTTGAACCGAAGATTCGATGGGGCATCCTCTCTCGGGGCTTCCAGACTTTTTGTTTTTTTCAGCATAAGGTAGGGGCCTTAACAATTACAATATGGTTTCGGGGTAGGTTATACTATAATTATCACAAGGAACCAGCTAAATAGTATCGGAAATTATTTAGGCCCCTATACTAGAACTTTGAGTATGACTCTCACCTGCGTGCAATAGCTCTAGAAGAAGGCAACACCAAAGCGCAATGAAAGACCGCCGCCAACAAAACCATCTCCTGTTCGCGAAGATACGAGGGGCACCCCAAATCAAAACATCAAGAATGGCCAGGGAGCAAGCAAAACGGCCTGGCATCCAGCGCACGTGAGTGACGAATGCAGACGATCATTGTGACCACCAGGGCCAAGGAACCTGGCGCAACGGTTATTTATCGAATAGCGGTAAAGTACTGCAGTGCAGGAATAAGGTTACACACGGATTCGCAACATCACTCTTGTCTGCTTGGGTTACAAGCTGGCTACAATCCTAGGCCCTAGGTGGCTATTCTGAAGCCTGTCGACATATACGTCAGACAGTGCCCTAAACCCTAAACCCTAAACCCTACCCATGTTAAAGATGTGTCCACGGACCAAAGTCCTTCGGCCCTCCCCAAGTCCCGGCACTCCCGACAAGCGGTCCGAGACTTGAGGGGCCCCGTCAACTCGCCCTGCGTCCGAAAGGTTTACAGGTTTACATAGTGGCTTTGATGTGAGGGCCTGAGGAATTATAATAGGACTTCTTGAAAAGTTCAATTAGGGAACCCTACACCAGGCCTACTCTAGGCCTGAACATTAACTTCGGATCCCAGGAGCCGATCATCGTGGCAGTCAGAAATGCCGTCGGGTTTTCCTCCATACAGCGCTTGAGGTATCTGGGCCGCCGATAATACTCGCGCCTCTGCCATAGCTCTGCCATGGTCTCCGGCATCCCTGTCACTGTCTCCGGCAAGCCCCAAGAGCTTGGTAACCTCAACGATTAGCCCTGTCCATGCAAGGCTGCATGGGTCTTGGACCCAAGGCAGAGGTGAATCTGCTGCACAGACACATGCACACGACTCAGGCAACTAAGACTGCCTGGGTCAGACATGTTTCAGCCCGCAGCCAAGGAAAGGGGCGCGCGCGATAAATGCAAGCATTAATTCAAGCCCAGTTGTCTGCATTTTCGTGCTCGTTGTCAGTAGGCCAACATGTATTATGATAATACAGGTAGTGGCAACCAACTACTAGAATTGCACATGAGTGGGCTTCGGAAAAACTGTTATCTGTGATACCAAAATCTAAGGCCAACCATTCTCGCTGTCGGGTCGATCCCCCAAATTATGTTGGAACTTTGGTTGGTAACGATGGGCTCCTAGGTCGTTGTAGAGGCTTGACGAGGATCCGCGAAGGTCCCGAAATAAAGCGTGCACTTAACCCTAAACCCTGCAGGGTCAATCAGACCAGGGCGGGCTTACTGGACCCCTCTGTTTGGTAGATTGGTAGCCATCAAAGTAGCTAACATGGCAAGAAAGTCATACTGAGCCCCGGAAGGCCCCGGTAGGGTGTAGGTTTCCCATGCAAGCGTGTGTAGAAAAACAGCTGAAGATGTATAACGAAACCCTTACGACAACAGCTAAGCCTGCCCTAGACACAGGTGGCTGGTGTTTGAGCTGCGCCGGTAGTCCAGGGCTTAGGAACTATAGGGATGTACTCGGATGAGCTAAACGGTCCTTCAATCAGCCCATGCTGCTGAAGTTCTAGTAGGCACTCTTAATACCCTTTGTTGCTGAACAACTCTGAACTTCAAAAACCCTCAACCGAAAAATTATAGTCGAGTTTGAGTTTCTGGGCCAGAATGAAGCTAAACACCAAAGCCTAAAGCTGCCGGAGCTCAAGCCCGGACCAGCCAACCGCAAAATTGGTTGGTTCTTGGTCCCCATAAGCCTATAAGACTTCCTTCCCAGGTTCCAAACCGGGTTCCTTAAAACAAAGGCAGCACAACGGGGTGCTTGTTGTTGCGGTTTTGGTCTGCGTTTTAAAGGCTGTTGCTGGGGGGTTTGAAATCCGACTATGGTACAGGACCTGCATCAGATGCTCAAGAAGACGAGGCTCATGGACGACGTCCGCACCTGCCTCCACCAAGGCCTTTCAAGTCAGCTGAAGGTATCTTTGTGCTCAAAGGCCGAGGGTTGGAAGATGTACGACGTATTGAATTACGGATGTGTATGGACGGATGTATGAGGCTGGCTCTGTTGCAGTAAGGTCTGGTGCCAACCCTAAGGCTCTTGGCTTCAGCGGCTCTCAATCTCAGGCTTCAGGATTCAGGCTTGGGGCTGGCGCATGACAAGTCAGGAAGTGTCGCTGGCTTGGCCTCGTCGTTACTTAATGTAGGGCCTTAATAATTAGAATAGAATTTTGGGGCATATTATACTATGATTATAATAAGGAACCCCCAAAATAGTTATACTATTGTTATACTACTCTTCCGCAACATGTAGAATGCTTGTTTCTCTTGGCCATCCATATTGGCATTAGGACAATTGCGCTTCTCCCTTTCTGAAAGCGATCAGTACCGTGGACCTGTTCGAACGTCATGGCCTTGCAGTTCTTGTGTAACAGCCTTATTTTTTGTCACAGCTTCCAGTATCAGCTTCTTCGGTGCATCCGTACATTTTTGCCCCTTGTGAGAACTTCCTCTTGCTTTGCTTCCCTATCCGGGGCATCCACCTGCCCTGAACCTGGTACTCCATTCTTCAAACGTGGCATGCTGGCTGCCAGAACACGTCCCTCCGACTTGTTGCGCGGAGGCCAAGATTGAGGTAAAGAAGACCAACACAGGAGGGAACCGTTGCACTTACACCCCTGAACCCAGAACCCCTGAACCCTAAACCCCAAACCCTTTAACTTTCCTCGGCCGATCCCGGCTGCCGATCAACACGGGTCTTGCGATCAGAGGTGATCGGCGGGATCACAAAAATCAAACATTGCAAAAGATACAGATACAGCAACGGTGCTGCACCTGAGCCTCTGGAGACTACAATCGCAAACGGCAATAAATAACAGCTGAGAGCCTTGAAGCTTACAGTGTCGCCTGACCCTCCAGTTAGACCCCGCTGCAAACCCCAAACCCTTTTTAAACCGCAACCCCTAAATCCTTATCCTGATCCCCGGCTCACACCCCAGACCCCATTACTCCAAGTTTACCCGACTGTAACACCCTATCCCTAAATCCTAATCCTAACCCCCAAACCCTTCATCCTAATCCTAATTCCCAAACCCTAAATCCTGACCCTAACCGCCCAAAGCCTAAATCCTAATCCTAAACCCCAATCCCTAAATCCTAATCCTAAACCCCAAACCCTAATCCTAAACCACAATCCCTAGTTCCTCATCATCCGAATCCTAATCCCCAAACCCCAAACCCTAATCCTAAACCCCAATCCCTAGATCCTCATCATCCGAATCCTAATCCCCAAACCCCAAACCCTAATCCTAAGCCCCAATCCCTAGATCCTCATCATCC